TACGGCACATGCATTACACATCAACCTGTTCAACTTGGAGTGCCAACACATGGGCTTCTGCCTACGATCCATTTTATTCACCTTGCAGTTCAAATGGCTCCATTTCGTCCATGCACACAAGTCATCAAATGTGCAAAAAGTGGAGTTGTGAAGGTTCAGCTGGTAAGCTTGTTCAAGGTCTGCAAGACACTCTCAGTTTCCAAGCTCAAAGTGCAGTGGATGCTGTACACAACGGTACCTTTGTTCTCCCTGTTTTTGACTCTAAAGAAATGGAGACTCATCTCGCAGCCTCCCCACACCCATGCACTTTATTCCCAGGTGCACAGCACAAACAGGCTAAAACAGCTACGGTGCATGTACAGTACATATATACATGTACACTTGGGAATATGTAAATAAATATCTTATGCAGAGAGGGAGAATGAACCTTCTGTGAACTGATGAATTCAAGGTATACACGTACATCATCCTGTAGGCTATGAACTGTACTTGTGTCATACATGAACAGATCTCCATTCATTGAGCTACATGTATTATTTCAAGGGTACATACCCAACACAAAGCACGTCTGATGTCATGCGGACGTGAGTGCGATTTCTGCCCCATCAGCTTGGTCCTACAGAGACTTGCATGTGTGCTTTTCCCAAATGACCTTGCTTTGTTGAAAAACTGAACTGGCTCTTTGTTTAAGCTACTTTTTCTTAGTTCGGTGTATATACAATGGGAAATTCACAAATCAATCCCTAATTTAAAAATAATTAAAAAAATCTGCCTTCGTACAACATGTACCTGTTATGTCACTCAGTCCAGGGCACATTGCCACAGTGACTGGTTCATATTTACATCACACACGTTGGCACATGCATCCATGAATGGCAGGATGTTTTGTGAATAGCCGGATACCAGTACAGTGTTACCACTACAATGTACCAGCCTCTCACTACTAACAACTTGGATTTCATTCTTGGATTTTTTGCTTCAAATGTACAAAGTAGCCTTCTTAGTCTTGCCCTTATATTTGAATTTGAAAATTATTTTGAATATTTAAGACTACATCATGTGCAAGAATTACATGTAAGTCAACAGCGCTTGAGAAGTTTCACATCTCCAAGAAGCATGAACCAATGTTAAGAATGACAGTAAATCATGCGCCCCTTCCAGGGATTTCCCTTGGGGTACATGAAGTGGTCCAACAAATTTGGCCAAAATTCTAGTGCCTGAAACAGAAGCGTTTTCAAAAAAGCCTAAAATAAATTTTATATATGTAGTCCAATAGGACATTTACTCCAACTTTCTCCTCTAAAATAAATCGATCTTGTATTGTGTGCCCTTCCTTATCATTCTGAATGATTTAAAACTGATTTATTTCAAACTATCTAAGTTATTTAGCTTTTTTTCCATCTTTGCCTATTTCAACCACTTGCTGCCGCGGGCAGTTATCAATGTTGATGATTATGGTCCGGGATAATTATCATTTTTTTCTGTTTTCAAAATTCTTTAAAAATTCCTATCTTCTTTTACTGGACACTTACAAACATGTGAACGACTGTCTGGTGTCCACTCTAGCCTGACAGACAAAATCTATTGACGCCTGAGTATTTCAGCCAGGCCTGCAGCATTGTAAAAAGAGCCCAGATTGTGCAGTGTTATATAACTGTCTTTTGTTCACAAGCCAGGCTCAGTGCACTGCTGACCTCTTTTCAATAGGGGCCAGATTAGCATATAGCGGTGCTGTGTGGCTCATCATTGTGATGGTGGAGCGCTTTTGTCCCCGGTGGTAATCCGCTTGCTCTAAATGCCCCAAACCGTGGTATACTGTTTCAAAACAAGGCTGGATTATCTCCATTTTTGAGAGTGAAAAAATGTTGGTAATGCCCAGCAGCCTGGTCTTTTGTTCCGAGTATGGTATTTTGTTATGAGGCCCTGTTCCCTTTGTCCGAGTTTAGAGACCCCGGCCACGCATATAAAGCATACGTGTCCCGATCCGGAAACCCCAGCAGGAAGTGGTTAAGTGTGAGGTGGTAAAATTCAACAGAAAAGCCTTAGGTGGTCACTAAAATCAGTGAAGTGGGCTGCCTCACACTTGAATAGGCAGGAGGAAACACTGGCTGCTACAGATACCAAATAAACATCTGTTGAATGAAACAAAGTTACACTGTACGGACACGTACCGAAACATCAGGATCCAAGCAAATGACAGAAAGTTTCATCTGTCAGATTTGATGCACTGTTTGCTAATTAATATCATGTGTGCTCTGTAAACACAAAAGTGTGTAGACTACATGTACATCTTTTGGTCAAACTAATCTCGGGGGGGGGGGGGGGGGGNGGGGGAAATGATACTCTCTCCATGGGAGAGAGATTAACAGTGGGTAAAACATGACATGACAATGACAAGTTGCAGGCACAACTTGCAGAGGAAGAAAGAAAGACGTGAATGTGTTCTGTCACTCGACAGTTGCCTATCCAGAGGAGGAACAAAATGAGTCAGGACAAGCACTGAATTACAAAACAGTGTATCAAAAACTTGGCAACAATGATGAAGCTGATTCAAATTGCAAATATTACTTTTGAGGATAGCAAATGGCAGAGATGGTAGTAATTTGTTTTCCTGAAGTAATTTTTTTTCAGTGGGAGTTGGGGTTTTTTCATATAGTCACCTCAACAGATGCTTTGTATGTGGAGAATTACATTTGTTGTATACGCGGTACACCCACATTTCCTGTGGAAAAAAAAACTTTTAAACTGCTGTTGAAGTTCTCATCGCTAGTTGGCATTATGCCATCACAGGGCTCCGCATGACTTTAACCTAACAAAGACTCAACAGCAATGACAATAACCACACAACCGTCATCGCCAATATTGAAACTGGGAAACTGCTAACCCCTGGGCTGACTGACCTTTCCTGATCCCGATCTTACATGCCTTTCACCGGTATCCATCCTCCAAACTTGTTTTTATTTCTTTCTTTTTTTTGATACGATGGAGACAAGAAGAGAGGAACATGGCCCCAGGCACAATTCATATTTAATTGGTTATCTGGGCCCCCGCACACATGTGCATACATCCTACTTCTCTTCTCTGTTCGCGCATACTGAATTATGCAAATGGCTGGCTGCCCGGACCTTTCTTGAACAAGTGTAGTGATTGATTCAATTATTGCAAAGGAAGAAACAGCCAGGAGGTTATTGTACATGTACAGCTGGCATGCAATTCTAATGGAAAGCTGTTCTGAAGAATAACGCTACAACAGGGATAGAGAAACCAAGTGTAGACCTTTGCAAATTCGTATTCAACATACCGGTATGGAGGTTTTCCTCAATACAAAAAGAATCACACATTCTGGATGGACAATTGGTACTGCATTACGGCTACTAGACCTGAGCCAACAAGTCCATACAGATTGCATAAAACAGCAATAGAAAGTGTCAAACAAACACAGGCTGTGTGTGGTGGGTACAAATATGTGGTAATGGAGTAAAACGAAAACTCTGCATCAGTTTCAGTTTCACAAACTGTAAACCTTTGGGGAAAAAAAACTCCGACACAAAAATACAAAAATGGAGGCATGACTAGACACCTCATTAAGCAAATCAGACATGTAACTAACTCTGGTGTATATTTACGATACATGTATCACACTGTCCTAAAAGACATTTTTAAAAACATGAACAAAAATGATACAAGTATGAAATACATTGTAAGAACATAAGAACCTGCAGAAACTTCAAATGAAGCAGATGCAAAGGGGTGCAGAACTGTTACACCCAAGGGCGGATCCAAAACCAAATTTCCGGGGGAGGGGGGACAAACCTGCTTTTTTGTGGGGGAGGGGCCAAAAAACTTGGAAATTGTTTCATGCAACGTTTTATGGCCTTTCAGAGGATGGGGCTAAATCTTGGGATTTTTACATGCTTTAAGATGGAGGCAAACAAGATTTTCCTTCCTCTCAGTATCTTTACCAAGACCCCCCCCAAAAAAAATTGGTTACACATATGGTACACTTGTACATGTACTGTACCTCTGAATTTCATCATCAGCCTGAAGAGTGCAACCAATTTTTGGAGTTTATACACTATAAGTGTACATGCATGTACATTACAAATTATGTGAAGTACCGTACATATGTTTTTATTCATCAAGCACACATGCACCCGTACCTCTACCATCCACGCTGTGGGCATGCACACAAAACACGTATCGGGGTACGTGTATGTGTCCTTAACAGATGAAGTGCACTCTGGTGACAATCAAATTTGTTATTCCACCCACACCTTGTCAGCACTGATGACAGCATATATTTTGCAAAGCATACATGTACATGCATGAGTACAGTACTGTACTGTGTACCAGTGTCACATGTGGACCTGTAATTTGTACAGTCTAGTCCCCCGGCTGTTCTGGACATCTGCTCAAAGGACGACCTAACCTTCAACTTAAGCTCCACTGCAGTCAGACTCCTGATCTCCTCTGGGCTAAAATCAAGTGCACTGTCAAGGTTGAGACAACATCAAAGATGGTTTCAGATCTCTTGATGCTAAATGAGCCAAAGTGAGTGCTGCTTGGTACACCACCCCACAGGGTTTTGAAACCGCACAGTTCTTGAATCTACGCATGTACATGTATGTAGGTCAAGACAGAATGTATCAGTGGATCCTCTGGCTTTTTCAAAAAGAGGAAGTTTCTTTTGATCCAAAACGGCCGCCAGTAACTTTTTCTGATGGCAGAATGTTGTTGACTGTTTCCTTGACTGTTTTTCTTCCTTTTTGCTACGGATATCCCTTACCCAGAACCTGGCTTACATCATGTAGTCCACACAATCCGCATTACGTGGACCTGTTTTGTTCATGGGTCCATACTACATGTAGGTACCGATACACGTACCGTACGTGTATGTCAGGTTGGTAGATGTCTGTTTAAAACAGTCCCAAATCTTCCGATTTCAGTATGATTTTGCATACACCCTAGGGGGTTAAGGTTAATATATGTACATTACGTACCTCCTTTTCGGCCATCTCTGCTCTTGTGTTGGATTCCTTGACCTTCTCTTCCAAATCCTCCATCTGTACAAACATCAATCCAAACAAAAAACTTGTCTATCCACTGCTTCAAACCACTTGAGACACTTAACAATCTTCAGATACCTCTGTGAGGAAGAAACGAAACTGAGGCAACTTCTGCATGTTGAGTACAATACGGGCGACTCACTATAGTGCGCCACCAGGAGTTTGCAATGCGTTGGCCAATCACAATGCGCGAAATTTGTCGACCCAATGCACATTTGGAAAGGGTTGACAAATTGTGCGCCTTATGATTGCCCAACGGGTTGCAAACTCTTGGTGATGTGCTATTGTGAATTACCCGAACTGGTATGTCCCTCATGCTGCATTTTCAATTTTTTACATACAGAATTCACAACTACACTCTTCGGAGGAAAATAGGTCATTGGTCATGTTGGTCACACACCCATACACAAATCCACTTTTCCGCCCTTTCAAAGTTGAGTTAATGACTGACTTCCTGTCCTAACTCAACAGTCAACACCTGGGATGTTATACTCCAGAACCAGAAAGTTGAAGTGCAGGGCTTTTATTGTTTGTCTCGGGTTTTATTGGCCACCAAATCTTTTGATTGAATTCCTCCATGATTGGAGGGGATTTTTGTTGAAACACCTGTTGCATGCAGCTGTTTTGGTTTGGTCAGGTGCCCTGACTCGACTAAAATGCAGATTTTTCATGCATGTCACAGGGACCGATGAGACACCCACTTTGGCCTGTTTCTTAATTGCTTGTCAAGTGCACTTTGGATTGTAACTTGGGGTGTGCGCACAGACTGTCACATACTGTGATGTTGTTTGATCCAACCCAGAAAGCCATTGCCAGTAATATATGATAAAGTGAAGTGTGCCATTGGCTCCTACAGTGTACAGGAACATGTGCACAAATTTATGTGTCTCAACAGATACATACATATTACATGTGCATGTACATGTACATGTGCATGTACCCCATATGTATGTTACAAGTAACGGGAAGTACATGTACTTGTTACAGATGTCACTTTAAGCAGCAGAATCACTTTTATTTTGTTAAATGACACTCCATGATGTCAACAGTGCATTTAAACTCTGAGGGCTGATGCTTTGGGTGTTGAAAGTTGACAGGTGCATGGATACACGCTGACACAGGCCAATCCACACTGACAAGCAAATGCCCCTGGGTTCATTTATTATACATGTATGTACATGTACCATGTGAGTAGGGTCCAACTTTCTTCACCTGTTGCGGACAGGAGTATTAAGGATTGGAATAATGTAAAAGGTTTCTTGCATACCACACTTCACAAATGCTTGCAGAGATGGTGCACACAATGTACACACGTATGTATAATGCATTCCTATAGATTCAGTGGATGGTCCTACAAGCTGCCAACCTGTCGGTAGTTCTGTTAACAACTTCTGCAATCTTCACACTCCCTAATTCTCATCAGGGTGCAGAACACTAATTCAAGTGAGAATCTCTGGCCGGCTCATTAGCATTAAAAGTGCCCCCACAGTATCTTTTGAAAAAGGAGATTGTTTGACCCTCAAAATGGTGAGATTGTGTAAATCGTTGCCAGGATCAACTCCCTGGGTCTTTGAGCTTTCATATGAGGGCAGAAAAGCTAAAAACTACGGTTGAAAAATGGTCCTAAGTGCCCGAGAAAGTTGAGGGT